ATTGTCACATGGACTAGCGTCATGACTTGAATCTCATATGACGGTTCCATGATTGGATCCTAAGACCTGAGATATCTACGGAATCCAACATGAGGAGTTGCGTGCTTTGAATACGTCTAACGTCCTGCGTAACAGGAGGATTATAAAGGCGTGTATCAGGTACGAAACGAATCATGTGTTGGATTGTAGATAGTCAAGACGGGATTTGTACCTCTCGTAAAAGAGAGAGATATCGCTGGGCCCCTCGTGTGAGCGAGACTGTAGAAATGTGTGGCCGCACTATAGACGAACGTCGTCTATTTCAGAGAGTCGAACTCAGTGAACGAGAAAGTAGTCGAATCAGATAAGGTGGCTTGTCCATGCCTTATATTTGACATATGATATCGTGATACAAAAGAATCATCAACCGGAATCATCGCTGGCATTCGTAGGATCACGAACAAACTCTATTCGAGATAGGTAGTCATAGTGTCTTGCTAGAGACCGCCTATGACTTGTGTAACCGAAATAAGAGATTTCGTGTTATACTGCTATATCGGATGAGCCTACAGGGTCACACACACAGGAAAGGACGAATGCGCGAAAAGAGACGAGAAATTCCCGGTGGAGCGGAGGCCAGACCGACCGGTCCAGAAGGTCTGGACCAATCGGTCTAGCTAACCCAGACCGATCGGTCTAGACGTAGACTGGTCGGTCCAGAGGTAACGTGTGAGGTCCGGAAATTGTTCCAGACTGATCGGTCCAGACATGGACTGATCAGTCCAGACATTAAAAAGCTCCAGACCGATCGGTCCAGGTCTGGACCGATCGGTCCAGACGCCAGGATTTACTAAACTCGCTCTAATTAGGGTTTTAATGTGGGAAAACTTAAGGGAACGCCACCCAACTCTTTTGGCACGAATTTCAGACCCTAGGGAGAGGTTTGGAGAGTGAGAAAGCTAAAAGAAAGATCCCTGAAACCCTTGCGTAAAGTAGAAAGAGTTCTTCAGTCCTGGCAGACAAGTTCCAACCGTTGGAATCCTTTCCGCCGTGTGGATACGTGTAGAGGGCAAGGTATTCTTCCTGCCTAAAGTGATCAGACGCGTTCTTCGATTGATACAGGCCCCGGATCGATTGAGGTAAGCGTTCTAACGTTTCTACAAGATCATGCATGATAGGTTTTAGGGTTTCATCAAAATTTTTGTTTTTCATCCGCTGCGCAAACCCTAGAACTGATCTCTTAGGAATTAGATTCGCTCTTGAGATCCTAGGAAAACCCAACACCTTGGAACAATGCGAACTGACGTCGCATTTCCTCTATGTCATTATATGGCGGAGGTGCCCTCGGTCCTTCAGGTCGTTGTGCAGGTGTAGCAAGTCGTGGAGGCATAGCTACTGCGGACAAGAAACTTTATTTAGTATCGGAACCTGGTGATCATGTTTAGATTTTTGGAAAATCTTTAAAAATCATTTTACCCATTCCCAAATTCCAGTGAAAATACGAGCACATTCTTTTCCCCTGGAAGAAACTGCTCTGATACCAAAATTGTGACACCCAAAACCCGTATCCCGCAATACGAGTTGCGTCACATGGACAACTAAAATAAAAACTCAATTCCAAAAATCCGCGGGAATTTAAAATTTTTCTTTCCAGAGTTAGCGGAAGGAAAACATTCATTCACACATATATGATACATTATTCCAGAGATAATTATACATAGCGAGTGGTAGCGAATTCATTATTACAAACCTTAAAAGTCTACCATCGATATATTATAAAACCGTTTTCCTAAAAGCATAAGCATATCATAAATATATAATTATACATGATCAGTCGACAGGTCTCCTAGGTCTTCGATGTCCGCTTCGCAGCTACTGCTGCTCACGACCTGAAATGTTGCGTAAGAACGTCCTAAGCTAATTGCTTAGAGAGTAAACTCGAGTGTAACCCGGAGTTCTATTCTCACGGAATCAGATAAAGCAATACATATATATATATATATATATATATTAATACTCTAATAAACAGGAATGGAAATATGGAATCACGATAATCATGTCAACAATCACAATCAAGTCCATACGACAAGTCGTAGGGCAGAGTTCGTCAAATCGTCTCTACGCGCACCATGCATAGGTAATATACTCCCCATGTGCATAGCACAACCATCTCTCTCCTCGGAATCCATCTACTCTACAATCACTCGAACCCGACATAAATATATTTTTCTCCACCCGAACACATCATCCCACCCTAGCATCGATGTCACCTCTCGATACTAGGTACGTCACCTCGCTCCGTCATTGATGTCATCTCTCAACTCCCCCTCGCCGACCATCTGCCGCGGAAATACTTGTCAGGTTTGTGCCCGAACCTGGTAGAGTAAGTCCGTACCACCTCTTCGTGAGACCCCAATCTACCCGAATCTCAGGTTTGTATATTTTCTTTATCTTTCTAGTTAAATTACTGAATTGTACCTCTGATTTGACCTATCTAGTCCCGGCTCGCCTGATGACCAGTTCGGTTCGTTCTGTGGTTTTTAGGCTTACCCGTTTATTAATTTTGGGTTCAGACTACGTGGGATCCGGACTAACCCATATTTTCGGTTTATTATTACATTTCTCTCTTCTTCACGAAACCCGCAAACATACATGATTTTCTACGGGTAATTCACCAAAAATTCATATTTCAATTTAGAATACGAATCAATCATCAATCAATCAAGAAACACTCAAAACCCAAATCCCATGTCAACAAACTTCCGAATTAAACTCGAATTCACCCATCGCAGGTTTTTCTGTATTTTCTAGTTGTTCTAGGTTATTGGGCAGACTATTCATTCTCTTAATTTGATCGGAACTGCGCTAAGGAGGTGCAAAGAGGGATGATGATTATAGACAGTTATAGAAAAAATGAATAACAATTAGAGAAAAATAAGGGAGGCATTAGCTTACATTTTTTTTAACCGTTTCCAACTAAATAGAGAGACAAGGAGCTTGCAGGAGTTAATGAGCTGAGAGTAATAGATAAAAAAAAAAGAGATTGGAGAGAGCAGATGAAGAACTCGTACGAGTTGAAGAATGAGCATGAGAGGCAAATAAATATAGCATAGAGATGAGAGAGAGAGAGAGATGTGGGGCATGGAGTTGGTGAGGAAAACATGGAGACTGTTGGAGTTTCCTGGGATCTCTAGAGCGAATCCTATTCCTAAGAGATCGATTCTAGGGTTTGCGCAGTGGATGTAAAATAAAAATTTATGAAACCCTAGAACCATGCTTCTTATGAATCGTAGAAAAGTAAGAACGCTTACCTCAATCGATCCGGGGCCTGTATCAATTGAAGAACTCGTTCGATCACGAAAGGGAGGAAGAATACCTCGCCCTCTACATGTATCCACACCTCGGGATGGATTCCAACGATTGGAACTTGTCTGCTAGGACCCGAATCTGCTATTCGGTATATCGCTTCGAGAAAACAAGACTTGGAACTCTTAGAACTCTTTGGATCTCTCCAAAAGCTCTCCAAGTTCTGTACCAGACCGCTCTAAAAGTCTCTTGAACGATTAGGGTTTTAATCTCCTTCTTATAAGGTGATTTAACCCTAATTCGGTATAATTTTCGAAAAACCCGAAAGCCGGAACGGACGGTCCAGAAATACACGTGGACCGTCCGTTCCAGCAAGCCAGAACGGACAGTCTGCACACGTGGACCGTCCGTTCCAGACAAGCTAGAACGAACGGTCTGCTGTCTACCCGGACTGTCCGTTCCAACACCTAGAACAGACGGTCTGCGTCTAAACGTGGACCGTCAGGTCTGGACCTGGCAGACCGTTGGGTCTGGCCCTTTCGGTCCGTCAGTTCCAGCTCCTTCCATCTCGGTTTTTCCGTCGTTTTCTCGTGCGTTTCGTCCTTCCCTGCGTGTGTGACCCTCTAGGCACATTCAATATAGCAGTATAACCCGAAATCTCTATTCCGGATATACAAGTCATAGGCGGTCTCTAGCAAGACACTATGACTACCTATCTCGAATAGAGTTTGTTCGTGATCTTACGAACGCCAGCGATGATTCCGGTTGATGATCCTTTTGTATCACGATATCATATGTCGAACGTAAGGCATGTACAAGCCACCTTATCTGATTCGACTGCTTTCTCGTTCACTGAGTTCAACTGGCTGAAATAGACGACGTTCGTCTATAGTGCGACCACACATTTCTACAGTCTCGCTCACACGAGGGGCCCAACGATAGCTCTCTCTTTTACGAGAGGTACAAATCCCGTCTTGACTATCTACAATCCAGCACATGATTCGTTTCGTACCTGATACACGCCTTTATAGTCCTCCTATTATGCAGTACGTTTGACGTATTCAAAGCACGCAACTCCTCATGTTGGATTCCGTAGATATCTCAGGTCTTAGGATCCAATCATGGAACTGCCATATGAGATTCAAGTCATGACGCTAGTCCATGTGAAAATCTCATGCGGGTCATTCCAGTATTCCAGTCTCCAACGAATACCTATGATTGTGATCGTATCCAATACCTATGATCATCTATATGATCATCAATCACACATCATACTAGTCTTAGTATATCATTATTCCCACAATGATACATGACTAGGGAGTACAGTATTGTTAATAACAATACATGGATTTCATAACACATAAGTATGCACAATATGTAATGAATAAAACA